CTTGTAAATGAGACAATGAGTCTCAAGAGATCTTCCTGTATAAATAAAGGATAAATAAAAATAAAAAAAATTATAAAGATACAGTAAATTAATTTAGAACATCAAAGACTCTTATTCTACTGAACAACCATTTGATTTTTACTTCTCTGAAATCAGCAGAAATAAACGTGACAACTGGTCATTAGTGTTTCCAATGACTCGTCTGAAATGAGGCAGTTTTGAAAGCAGAGCCCATAGAATATACACTCTAAATCTGATGCACTTTAAACTGCAGCTGAAGTCAAATCACACTTAAAAAAGGCACTACAAAGACACACAAAGCTAAACAGGAACAAGACAAACTATAATCAGCTTTCCTCCCATTTTGAACTTTAATGACTATGAAAAAAAAAAAACTAGCCAGCAACCTTTACTAAAGTATGCTGTTTTTTTTTACCCAAATCCTGCTTTAAAATCACTTCACACTTTTATTCAAGTAATCTAATAGCAAGCCAATTTCTTGTGTACACAGACTGATAATCCAAAAGTTTCCTGTATTGTTCTACGCTGATGACAACTGTTTTTGTTTTTCAAGTTTTTGTTTTGGCACTCATTCCACAGACTATTTTCCCCCACTTTATGCCAATGTTTCTTTTTTTATCAGAGCAGATTCTTTTTAAAACGGTGTGAATTATGTGGCAAAAGATATGCCCTACAGCCACTGCAATGCTGATTGTTAACGACGTGATCAAATGAACATCACCTCATCGAGTCTGACTGAGTCACACCAAAATGTTAACACAGTTTTGTGTTGGATGTGCAAATTGGTCATTTGTAGCACAGTGGATGTAAATGGATGTGTGCTCTAAACCACTCGTGTGTGTTTGTGTGTGTGTGTGTGTGTGTGTGTACTGTAGGCTGACAGACATGCAGAGTGATGAGTGTATTGTGATGGAATGTGAAGTTTCCAAAGCTGAAGCCATATGTTGCTTTAGGCGCCATTTCTCCTCACAATGATGCTCTGTTCAATTTCACTCGCAGACTGACTGACTAACCACTCACATGTGCTGTGAACAGGAACACATCCGTGCTAATTAGTGCAGCTACAGACACACAATATGTTAAAAATGGAAGMGTTGAGGAAGAAAAAAAAACACATCTTACAGTTTTTGGAGGAAAATAAAAACTACGTGTCTGCTTTTGTAGTTACAGTATCATAAAGGACTTTGTGTGTGTTTAAGTGTGTGTGTGTGTTTAAGTGTGTGTGTGTGTGTGTGTGTTTAAGTGTGTGTGTGTGTGTGT